CACTCACTTCTAAGTATTTTATTCTTTTCTTCATTGCTCTGTGACATCTACAACTCTTTGACTTTTGGTTGTTGAACCTGCCAGCTATTTCAGAATTCTATGGTGTGTGTGTCCCTCTTAAAAACATTGACATAATCCTGTCTTTTCTGGAGAAGAGAAGAAATATCCTTTAGTCTTCAAATGACAGGTAAATTGATGGGTAAACTGGTTACTCTATTTTTATCTGTTTTTGTTTGTTTTTTGTTGTACTTGCTGTAGAAAACAGAAATCTTCTCTCATTATAGATCTTTGTTCATGCTTTTGGTTCTTTAAATCATCTGACATGTAGAGTATAAGCCAAGGTCATTCAATGAGTTTCCTTAAATTTGTCTTACATCCGAAGACACGTAGCACAAAAACCCAAATTTCTGTCCACTGAAATTGTGAAAACAGTCTCTGTACTCAGAACATGTTTTTCTTTTTAGTACTTCAGTGCATCAAAATTTTTTTTCCTACAACCTGAGAACCTTGCTAATACAATCTTTTATTATATGTTTCTTATAGTATATATTACATTTTGTTGTTTCTTTAAAATAAATTTGGACAGTTTTAAATGAATGCAAAAACCCATAGTCACTTAAGTTTAATAAATGTCAATTTATTAGTTGAATTAGTTGACTTTTTATTTTTTATTTTTTATTTTTTTTTGGTTTTTCTCCGGTACCGGGAACCGAACTCAGGACCTTGCGCTTGCCAGGCAGGAAATTAGTTGACTTTTTAGCTACACTTTTATATGCTTTACCTTGCCCCTTTGAAAATAGTGTTAGACATGATAGTTCATCTATTAGTTTTTAGATATAAAAGGCACAGTCTTACTATTATCATGCCTATGAATTTTAACAATATTTCTTTAATAGCATGAACTAACCAATTAATATTAAAATAACACTATTTATAATATCTCATAACTTGTTTGCAATTGGCTATTCAACTATAATCCAAACAATGCATTTGGCTGACCTTATTTCTTAAAATTTCTTAAATTATTCATACACGTTTGCAGTATGTGAAGATTATATTCTTCGTTGGGGAGTTGGTACTTGCATAGCATATCTTAATTCTTTTTAGTTTCTTTTCTGCTCCTCTCCCTCCCTCTCTCTCCATGTCTTTGTTGGCTTCCCATGTGCAAAAGATCTATCTATCTCTTCTTTCTATTATCTATCTTTTATTTTACTATTTAAATTATACTTAGGGTTTCTCATACAGGAGAAACTATGTGGTATATTATTTCACTAAGTATTATGGTCTCATACTCATTAGTGAAATAAATCAGATTCACATGTGTAAACATCGTACTTCCTCTCAACTATAAGAACCTGAAATAGTAAATAAAATCTGAAAGGTACAATAGACATTATGAAATGGAAAAGAAACTGCTCAAATAGGAAGGAACTGGGATGAAGGAGGGGAGAGGAAAAAGAAAGAAGGAAGAGGAAAAAAATATATATGTATACACAGGATAACTAGGATAATTGTACTACTAATATCTGTTGGTTTATTGAAAGGAACTGTTAATGTGTAACTGTTTGATTAATCTTGCATGTCTATATCTGGCTATATGTGCAAGCATTTTCAAGATGACATTATATAATACAATAACCATTGTTAATATCCTATCACCATGTTTTAAAATTCAGTATCATTTTTACTGTTCTCCGTGCTGCTTTGTTTATGTAGTTGTTTTTGTTATTTTTGTTGTTTCTTAAATGAAAAAGATTATATGTATATATAAGGATAGCTGGAATAGGTGTATTGCTGATATCTGTGGTTTATTGAAAGGAACAGTCAATGCTTAAAATTTTCTTTTTTCTTGACCAGTTTTGCATGCTTGAATTTAGTAATCAGAATGACTGATCTGAAAACAACAATATGCAGTATAAAAACAGTTGCTGAACTCCTACCATCTTGTATGGTAAAGCTCTGCATCATTTCCAATGTTGCTTTTTTATTATTATTAGTTGTTACTCTCTGCTTGTTTAATCAATCTTATATTCTTATGTCTGGTGAACTGAGCAACTTCGTTGAAGATAACAGTATGTAATGTAGCAACCATTGTTAATTCCTATCATTTTGTTTTGAGGTCATGTATCTTTTTGGTTGTTTTTGTGTTGTTTTGATTCTGTCTTCATTGTTGTTTTGTTAGTTTTTTTAATATTTAGAAGAAAAAAATTATGATCTCAACATGCATCCATTTTCCTACAAAGACTCAAAATTATCCTGCAGGGTTGTACTCCATTGTGTCCAGCAACCACGTCTTCTTTATTCATTCATCTGCTGATGGACATATAGGCCACTTCTACAATTCAGCTATTATGCATTGTTCTACTATAAATATGGGTGTGTAGGTATCACTGTAATCTGATGTCTTTAACTCTTTTAGGAAGAGAACTAAAATAGGTATACAGTAGTTAGGTCAAATGGAATTTCTATTTTTAATTGTTTGAGGGATCTCCATATTGATTAACATAATAGTTGTACTATTGTGGTGCTATCGTTTACATTCCAACCAACAATGTAGAAGGATTCTTTGCCCACCCCACAACAGCCTCACCAGATTTGTTATTGTTTTAGTTCTTAATGATGGTCATTCTTTCCAGAATAAGATGGAATCTCAGTGTTGTTTTAATTTGCATTTCTCTAATGGCCAGCGATGTTGAACATTTTTTCATGTATTTATTGGCACTGGTTGGAAGTAAGAAGGTTAAATTATGCAGACCCTATATTGAACAATTGGCATTGCCCTTTTGAACTGTCTGCTCTTGTTTTAAACACATTTGGCATAAAGATTTTGAATACACTAGGAAGCTTAATGGTTTGAAAATTGATTTGTCATAAATAAAAGCTCATCTGAGTTTATGAAATGCATGCTGTTATAAATCCATTGTAAAATGGAAAGAAACAGTCGTATTGATGTGTATGTATAGTAACAGAAAGAAGCAGAACAGCCAGGGGCCATGTAGTCTCACAAAGCAGTATATCCCAAAAAGAGAGGCAAGTACATGGGCTTAATACGAAGCTATGGCAAAGTTAGAGATGCTGAGCTTAATTTCAGAAACATTGGATTTTAAGTGTTCACACAGTCAAGTCTGAAACTTGTTATGGGATGGATTCCAGACAAAAGACCTGATACTGTAGATTGTATCGACTAGAAATGATGAACTGATAGCAAAGGATGAGCACATCAAGTGACGAATACAGGCTGGAGGTCAAAGACAGAATAGTGTAGGGGTAGGGGTCCAGGGCAGGCACAGGAAGCAGGAAGAAGAGGGCACTGTCCCTTAGGAAAGGCAGGGACAAATAATATTATCACAGCTTGAGAAGGAGAGTTTTAAGTGGCACGGGATGGTCAGGCAGGGCAGGTACCACCGTGAGGTGAAAGGAGAGAAACAATATCCTTTGGGCATCAGGAGGGAGGTTGCCAGCAGTGCTTGAGAGGGCTCTTCAGTTTAACAAGTCACATACAGAAGGGCTACCCAAAATGATGGACAGAAGGAAGCAGGAAGTCAACACAGAAGGCACCGTTGATCTATTCTAGGCCTGGCGTTCTAAAGAAGGTAGATGTGATTGTCTAGAGAATCCCCAGGTGGGGAAGCAGAGCCGTGCTTGGAAGCCAGGGGTGGGAGTGTCTTTTGTTACTTTGATAACTATGGAAAAATTCATTTTTTGAAAACTGAAGTTTTGAATATAGTCAGTGCAAAAAGAGACTAACTAGTCATTTTAAATATTGTAAGGCAGTGTTTTATTAATTTCCATCCTGTATATTACTATTGATAAATGATGCTTATATTGAATGTACATAATATTAGGTATTTAATTAGGAAAGCTAATTTTCCCCTTACAAAAAAAGAATCTTGGACATTTCTGTATTATTTTCTTCACTGCTTCCTCAACCAGATATCATGAAGAGGTAAGTATTTTTATTTTGTTAGTTTCATTGGTTTCCTGACTATAAAGAAAATATTTTTACAGAAAGGTTTAAATAATTGTTCTTTTAAATTTCATAAAATGATATTATTCAGAGACAATATTATCATAAATTCCATTTAAAACGTTTCTTTGTATAAATGCACTTTATTTGAAGGAGCTCATGCTATATTCGTAACTTTGCATCTGCTTTTTTGCATCTCATAATATGTTGTGGATATTTTCTGTGTCAGTGAATAGAGATATTTAACATCCCTTTTTAATGGTAGCTGTTGTATGAATGTATCATAATTTAAGCCATCTCCTAATGTTAGATATTTAGACCTTTTCCAAATTTTCTACTTTAAACAGTACTGCAATGAATATTTCTAACAGCATGTTTTTGTGCACTGGGCTAGTTGCTTATCTTTGGATAATTTCATGAAAGTACAGTTATGGATCAATGGTTTTGCATATTTTATTTATTTATTTTCCTGTATTTTGTATTATGACATATATTTAGACATTGTCAGTAATTCTACAGGAAAGCTATAGGAAGTATACTTATATCAATAGCACTTATAAATACCTAGGAATTTCTTTTCAATGTGTGTTTTTTGTTTTATTTTTTTCATTTTGAAATTAGACTCATTTTTCATCCTCAAAAATGAGGAGGCTGAAATTTATCTTTTTTTTAAAGGGTCTTAGGACTATTTTAGAATTTTCAAGAGTTGTTTAGCCTGCTTTTCAGAAAAACATACAAGTGGAAAAGCATAGGATTTTTTACATACTACTTATGGGAACTCACAGATCCTTTGAAGTTAAATCATAGACATATTAAGACTTTATGACTCCATGAGGTAAAGAGTCTCTGAATGAGGTAATTATAAAGATTTAGTTCCTTTTTTATCACTAATGTGTACACATTTGCATATAAAAGTCATGTACTCATATGCACACAGAATTTAAATGTGACATCTGCTTGATTCAGAACCTAGTCTTGCATGAAATCCTAAGTGTGCAAAGGTATTGAAATGAAGCTTCCCCATTGATTTCAGGTTTTTCAATGGAGAGCCCACCAGGAAGAGGTAGCAAGACTGGAAATGGAAATTTCTGCCAGAAGAAGAGAAAAGGAAGAGGAGGAAGAAAAACTGTGGAGGAAGAAGGAATTGTTGAAAAGGGAGGAAAAGAAAAAACAAGTATGCAATCTTCTGTTGATGTGAATGCATGAATGAACACTTAATTGTCTAATGGAGCTTTAGCTCTTCTTGGTATTTGGCATGGAATTCTCGTAGCCTGTGCTGAGAACACTCATGAGCCTCGTGGAGTCTTGCTTTAGTTTATTTGAACTTCAAAGATTTTTAGTCATGGTAGAGAACATTTTGTTGACCTGAGGGTACCTGTGGTTAGAACAGATGATGTAGGGGGAAAAAAAGACAAAGGTTGTGACTATTCTTAAGTCTTGAACTAGGGTGAGACCTGGAAAAGCTTTCAGGGTAGAAGGACAGCATTTTGACTGATGGTAATGATTGATAGAAATGATTGTTAGAAATGTATTTATTGATAGAATATATTGTACATAAAATAGTGAAATTCATAGAAGGCCAAAAAGCCCTTTAAAGAGTTTACTTCATGATTTCTTGTTAGATGGTTTTGTTTTTCCTTTATTCTTTTGAGCAGATATTTGTTTCACAGTCTTAAAAATATTCACCAAAAAAACATGTTAACAACTTTGGAATGATTACTGATATAATCTATAGAATACAGAATATATACTTTAGTATTTATTTTAGCATTTTTATTTGTTCCCACAATTAAAATTATAGAATGTGCAGTAAAGATACTTCTGTTAACATTTTTATCAGATTTATGAATCAATTTCATAGAGTTGCTGCCTATGGAAATAATTCACAAAAGGGAATTAATTTGTGATCAACACCCCTTACAAAAAAAGAAATCAGCACACCTATACCTTTCTACCAATAGCACAAAGCAGTACCCAGAAAATTTGCCTTTACTTGTAATAGCAAGACTTTTAGAACTTTCAGTAGTAATAAGCAGCCCACTGTGTCCCATAAACCATAGGTTCACCACTGCTGGTCTATACTGAGCTACATGATGCTTTCTTGAAATGCTACTTACAGTACCAAGAACGCTTGATTCTTATTGTTGAGCAGACATTTCATTTTTGTGAATAAGGTTGACATTTTGGACTATGTGACCAGTGAAATCTGTGAAGTTCTTGCCTAGAAGTTTTTCCTTCCAAGTTCATTATGTGGGGGATAAGGGAAGGATGAATTTTAAAGTGCTAAGTCAGACTTTCTGTAATTTTTAATACTTTAGTTTTCATTGTTCTTTATTTGTTTCATTCCTTTACATCAGCAAAGTTGTAGATGCAGCTTTTGTGGAAAACAACACACATAGGAATTCTATGATTATTTGACAAAATCAGCTGCTAAGATGTATTTCATAGTTCTTACACTTTTGATTAAAAATAAATTCAATTTCCACTTCTAAGGAAGTAAGTGGGGGTGACTTCATTAGGTTCCTATCAAGAAAGTTGATGATTAAAAAGAATAATTGCAGGTACGTCAGGAACTGATAAATATTGATCATGTTTTAAACAACATAAGTGAACTGTATATCTTTGTGGAAACAACTTACTGATTATTTACTGTTGTGAAAGTACAGTATTTGAAAAGTAAATTTCCAGCTGAGGATATAGCTCAGTGGCATAAGCACCTGCCTGGCAAGCCCAAGGTCCTGAGTTCAATTCCTGCTACAAAAAAAAAAAAAAGAAAAGTAAATTTCCATAGTTTTGTCTTCTACCTGACCCCTCTCATAGTATTTCCTTTCTATCAATTTGTATGACCACAAATAATGTCATATTTTTAAGCATTAGTTTACATGTTGTGTCATTTTAAGGGTCACCTGAAGAGATTTAGATACAGTTCCATTTTCAGGGGGTTTAGACAGAGAAAATACAAAAATTGAATAATTCAAGTATTGAGAATGGGAGTAAGGGCTTGATTTTCAAACAGCAAACAGAAACATTAAAATGATACCCAAAATTTGGAGTCAGATTTATGTATATTGATGAGCACTGATGGGATCATTGCTAAAATATCAGGCTCTGATCTCTGGTGGTCTAGGGGTTAGGTGAGATAAGCAAGCAGGAAGTACAGAGGCAGAATGGCTTGCCAATTGAGGGTTGGTTCTTACAATATGCTTCATAGTGACCATATATATCACAGTGACCAGCTCTTTCTAAGAAACAAAAGTGACAGGAACTGTAACTGAAACTATTACCTGGGCAACTAACAAACCAAAGTATACTGGCTGAGGGGGTGGGGCATCTTCTGCTACAATCTGAGTTAGGTTTGACTTGGGTATTGATTGGTATGGCTATACAGGAGAGATGGAGGGACATTTCTAGCTGTCTTCCTGTAGTCTGTAAATAAGATTTCTGGAAGGGAGAGAAAGGTGTTTTTAAAGGCTGGAGGGAGCTTTTTCTGAGTTTACAAATGGGGTTAACACTTGGCTTCACAAACACCCAAACAAGCAAACACCAGGGAAATGGAAGGAATAACTAGGCAATTACACTCACTCAGGTGATGAAAGGGCTAGTCCAAGTGCAGTTTAGAGCAAGAAAGGACCTGGGCCTGGAAGAACAAAGCCCAGGAGAATTTCAGGGTCATCAGTCATGTCAGTGTAAACAAACTTAAGTATCCGCCTCATGTTTTCGACTGCAAGATTGAACCTATACCCGTGAGCATTAAGGAAGTAAATGTTGAGATGATAAAGTTTCCATAGCTACTATGCTTTTGTTGGCCTTTTTTTGGTTGAATTTTACTAAAGTACATGCAGGGCATTACTTGACTATCCTGCACTTCATGAAAAACAGGGTAAGAAACGCAGTATTGAATATGTTGTGTAATTTGTATAGAGTGACCTGAGCAATTGTGTGGGACCAAAGCATACAGTTTACTTTCTTTCTTTTCTTTTAAAATATGTTAACCTTTCAAAACTATTTTTAAAATATAGAGATTTACATAATAAACATATTAGTACCCCATCATCTAGTATTGAAATTTAAATATTTTCCATTTTGTTTCATATTTGTAGGAAATTTAAATAAAACAGACCATTTTTGTGATAAATAAGTGGGTTCTGGCTTACAGTTTGGGCACTTGGTGTCTAAATGGTGCACAGTTCCTGTCCTAGACCAAGGCGAGGCAACTTGATTTGCACCAGGTACATTCTTCCTTTGACAAATACTTGTGTTCTACTTTGAGATTGTGAAAACATGTCACAAATGAAAGAGTATAAGGAAGATAGATCCACTCACAAAGAATAAAAATAAAATACTTTTTAATGAGAAGCACATGAATAATACCTTTGCAAACCTGCCAGCCACATGCCGTGCTGATTCTCTCCCTTCCCTGTACGCAACCAGCAATCAAAATGTGCTCATCATCTGCCTTTGATTCACTTTTTATATTGGAAAATAAACACATTTCCAGAAAAAAATAGACCATTATAGATAAATCAATTTTTGAGGCCTTTCCTCCCCAGAGGTAACCATGATCATGAATTTTATTTCTACTTTTCTAGGGCATATACTAATTTTAACACATTTTATCATATAGTTGGTGATTTAAAATTTTTCACAAACATAATCATATCATATCATTTTGGGATGCATACTTTTTCATTCAACCTTGTGTTTTGAGATATACCCATTTTAACACAGAGAGATCTAGTTCAGTCTTTTTTTTAATATTTGTGTTTAGAATTTTTTTTTTTTTTCTTTTTTTTGTCTTTTTGAGACAGCGGTTCACTATATGGTTTCACTATGTGGTTCAGCCTGGCATTGAACTCACTTTGTAGCCCAGGCTGGCCTTGAACTTGCAGCAGTCTTCCTGCCTCAGCCTTTTGAGTGCTGGGATTATAGGCATGCAAACCACGCCCAGCAAATTCACTCTTTTTCATTGTTAGTGTTCTAGAGTAGAAATAGCTATCATTCATCTGTCCTCATAGTGGCTGACATTTCAGATTGCAGCTTCATTCTTACCTACAGAGCTGCAGTGGCCTCCTTGCGCATATCCGCTCATGCCCGTGCTCAGGGTGTACCTAACACCTAGAAGGGGAATCATTGTATTGTAGGATGTGTATATTTTCAGTTTGCACATTTGAACTATGATAGATATGACAAGCTCCTCTTTAATTTTTAATTTATATTCCAAAATTACTTGTGAGATTGAAAATCTTTTCCTGCTTACTGGCCAGTTTTCTTCCTTTGTAAATTGCTTATTCATACGTTTCATACATTTTTCTATTTCTTTTTTTATAAATCTCTAGAAGTTCCTTATAAATTCTGGATACTATTATTTTATCAGTTATGTAAATTACAAATACTTTCTTTAGTGGTCATTTGCTTTTTAATCTTACCTGTGGTGTCTCTAGTTTCATAGATGTTTTAAATTATCAAATAGTCAGTTAGTGAACTTTTCTTTACGAACTAGGACCTGGTACTGAAAGCATCTCTGCAGACAGCTTTTGTGCGTGCTCTACTGGGCGCCATGTATGTGTTACTTTTTAGACATGGGATGTTGCGCTGTGAGTCTAGCATGGATCTGACAGTGTTTATGCACAGCGTCAGCCTGGCGTCCTGCACTTGACTCCTTTGCGGCCTTGGTCCCCACACAGGAAAGAAGCTCCCTTGTCACTTTTTTGGGAAGTGTTCATAAAACATCTAGTCCCTATTTTGCATCAGGATAAATCCTATAAGACAGTTTGCTCTTTGAAATTGGCTTCGTTCCAGCTCCTGTGTACCCAGCAGCCAGCATTTCAGACTCTTTAGTTCCCGATTTTCTCAAGCGCGCACTGGCTTCAGCCCCCCTCCTTGCTCTGACTTTGGATTCTATCTTTATTTTCACGAGGCATTGTCCTTGTTGTGTGTGTGTGTGTGTGTGCACGTATGTAACTGTTGTAGGGTTTTTGTCCAGTATTTCTATATATTTAAGAAAGGAGAGTTCTACGTCAATTCAGACATAGTGACTAGAATATATATTTATCACCACAAACCTAGGTTCTTTTTAATTATTGAACATGTTGGAGGCAAATTTGGTTCTCCAGAGTTTAACAGCAGCGTGGCAGGTAATCCCACCCAGCAGTTCCCCTTGATTTGAGACACGTTGCTTTGCTAACTGGTGCTGGTTTTTAAAATTTCTTCCACCTACTATTTCACCTGGTTGGTTTTCTCTATTAAAAAGGAGGCAGCAGAAGAGAGTTTTGTCAGGTGTAAAACCTCACCAGAGAATTTCTAAATAAAACAGTCTTTTCCTGTTTCTTCTTCCCAGCAACTTGTCTTTTAGGCTTCATTTGTTAGAATAGCTTAACAAGTGCACAGACGTAAATAAAATGGCATCAGAACAATGAAAGCAATACAAAATTTCAGACAAGGTGATAGGAAATTAACAGTGGCTGTTGTTTGACATGTTGTTATCCTCAAATAGGCACTCAGATAAACAAATATACGCATGTGAGATTGATCATGTCTGTGTATTTGTTAATTTGTTTTTGTTCTTTTCTCTTTAAAATAAAAAAAGACTACTTTATATCCAGTGCTAAAGTTTACCCTTATAGGTGCTCAGAATCTTGTAGGTGCTCTTTCTCTATGATTTAAAGCTCTTGTTGGATATAATGGTTACATTTTTCATCGTTTTGGTTAAGACCCAAAGGAAGTTTTGATTCAGAACTTGTTAGATAATACTGGTAAGTTTCACAAGCAGTTTTCTACTTTGGATAAAATCAGAAGATGTTTACTTTCCATGAACAATTCCTGGAAGTTATTATAAGAAATAAAGTTGCTATGTTAGATGCACCTAAAAATGCCTCCTGATATGTGATATTGGTCCCCACACCACCCTTTCAATAGATATTAGAGATATTAATCTTTGGATGGCATTAACTATATAAAAATGGCTCTGCATCATAGAGTTTTAGCTTTTATTGCTGTATGATGCCTCATCTAGAGTTTATGCAACCCAAAACAAATATATCAGTTAGGGTTAATTAGAGGAAAAGATTTAATATAAAAATACATATGATATATAAAAGATTTTCCCTGGGCATGGTAGTACATGCCTGTAATCCCAACATTGGGAGGCTGAGGCAAGAGGACTGCTATAAGTTCAAAGACAGCCTGGGCTACATAGTGAATTCAAGGCCAGCCTGAACTACATAGGGAGACCCGATCTCAAAAAAGCCAAAATAATAAGAAAGGAAGAAAGGAAATAAATAAAGAAAGAAACAAAGAGAGAGAGAAAGAAAATTAAAAAATAAAGAATTTATAAGATAGGCTTATAAGGGCTGCCTGCAGAGTTAGGGTGGAAGAAAGCAAAAGGATGGTATCCTGCTGGAGAGTTGGAAGATCCAGTGAAAAGCAGAAGCCCTAATATTTCCACCACTAAATTAAACCTACCCATCCAGTCTCAAGAAGAGAGGTTACCGAGATCTTCCTATAAGGCGACAGGCTATTGTGTACAATGTGGGGAAGGGAAAAGTGCTTCCTAAACACAGGTGGCATTTTACGAGAGACATTAAGCTGAGCTGAACATGTTCAGTCACTTCTCCTAAATAAGCCAAAGTGAGGAGCAGCGACTTTGAACCCTCCCAGGAAGGGGAATTTCTCAGCTCTGTAAGTAGTAGAAAATGAGCATTCCTCCTAATAAGAGTATACACGAATTTTGACAGCCCCTGATATGTCCATGGCTCAGGAAGGATACTTCACTGAATTCACAAAAGAGGGAGAGCAGTCCAAAGACAGTTCTTTTATTGATCATACATTGGCCTTGCTACTATACCTAGTGATACATTAACAATCTCATTGAGAAGGGAGCCAAGAAGAGTTTAGATGCAAAGATCTCGATCTGACCTAAAGGGATCTACTTACTAGGATACAGATAGAGAGAGAAATAAACACACCATAAACTAGGTAGAAAATGTGAAGGGCTAAGTACTCGAGGAGTCCACTGCAAGTGGAGAATGACACAGGGTGGTCTTGAGATGTGGGCTATTTCCAAATACTCAGGCCCACGCTGGGGTTCAGCACTGTCACTTGCTAATTGTGTGGCCTTAAGGGAAAATTACATCATCTCTCAAATTCC